CCATTCTCCACGCATGCGGGAAATTTCAGGGACAAACCAAGATCTCCGAGATTTTTACCCACACCAGTAATCTCGCTCATCAATGTAGAAAAGTATAGCCTGAAAACACACGAAAATACCTGCACCTCAAGCCTTCTTGCTCTGGATGAACAGTGTTTTAAGTTCTTCTGAATATTCTGTTTGAGAACCAAGTCTTAGTAGTGCAGATTTATGATAGGTGACACAACCTGGAGTGATCATAGACAAATACTTTCCATGTTGACAGACATGTGAACATTCATTAATGCTTCCCAATTCCCTATTCTGGTTTACTGACCATTTACAATGTGTATTAAGAAACAAAATACTGCTCAGAGCAATCTGGGAAACCCTCTCATCAGCCTGCCAAAATCCTTTAAAAGTTAGTAAATATCGGTACATAGAAAAACCCCACTTTACCTCTCTTACCTAATATGAAGCCTCAAGGCTTTAAAATTACACTTGACCTTAAAACCTAGTATTTAATGTAATTTAATGGAAATCCAGTAGGAAAGCTGGAAATTTACCTCCAGGATTACAGGAAACGTTAACCTGCTTATCATCAGAAAAAAAAAGCATCGCATTTATAGCGAACTATTGCCCAACACAGGACAACACAGCACTGTACAGAAACTTCTGCAAGTGGAATACCTGTTCACGCAAACATATTCAAAACACAGCTAGCTTGCTGTCCCCAATTCAGAAGCAGATACCTGTCAACTGTCAAAGGATTTTTATACTCCATAATCCACTGATCTTTCATTCATCATCCACAATCTCTTGCATAAGTCTTCTACGAAAGTCAGCAGGTAGAAGATGCACTGTGTGGGAGTAGGCAGTTAGTTAGAACAAGTGCCCTTAGGATAAAGGTGTTTCAGCATAATTTAATTTTAAAAATTATCTTACTGTGGCCTTAAGTCTAAATTAAGTCTAAATTATCAGCTATTTATGGATTCCACAGAGACCAAATAGAAAATTATGATTATTAAGTGAAAAAAGCAGATGAAACCCTTTTACAATGAAAGCTCTCATTTCAATCTCAGGCCAGTTCCTCTGCTACCTATCTTTACATTGAAAGATGCTGATGGCAAAAACATATACGCAGAACTGGCTCTCTGGGCATGCTGTTACAGTTAGGACACTTAGGATCTTAATCCTTGTTTCTCCCCCTACCATTATTACACAAGACTCATCTACTTCAAGCTGAATAACTTATAGTAACATTTCAAGAGTTTAGTTTCTGATTTGTACACCTTCCCATCTTCTCCGATCTTACATTGTGATTATTTGCATTTTCATGTGCACAGACAGGCTGTTTGCTTTGAAGCACGCGATGCCTGTTCTGCAGGCAGACCTTTGTTTGGAAGCAAGGAAGCAAGCGTACACACTGCATTACTGAACCAGCAGAATTCTCTACATGTTTTCTAGCACTACGTATGGAGACTACTTCTGATCAAGTTTATCTACTACTGCTTCTGTCTTAAAATAAATGATAGAAAAATCAAATTGGAATGGACTTCGAAAGTTTTACTTACAAGTTCATTTGCACATGGAGAAGGCATGCTTAAGTCCTCTGCAGGCTTCATTTAGCTGCACATAGCTGCAGATACTATGATTACTATGAGAAAACCAATGTCATTACCAAAAATTTCCTAAAAGTTCCGAGCATAAGATACTCCCTTTTTTTCAGCAACCCTGTCCACATAAAAAGACCACCATCAAAAGCTCAGTGGTTACTACACTATAAATATCATGATCTCAGAAATTATACTTTTAGGTAAAAAAGTCACAATTAATAAGTATTTAGTTTTAGATCTTTTATGAGCAAAGATGTTTTAATGTGTCACATTTCAAAAGCATCAACCTTTCTTTACAAGAAGAGAAAAATCACTTCATAAATTTGGAGCCAGAGAGGTCCACAAGACTTTCTGCAAATTAAAAGTGCATGAAATACATGCATCATCCTTCATACACAAAATATTTTGCAACAGAGGTGAGAACACAGTAAGTGTTAAACAAATATTTAGAGTTAAAAGTACCTGAAAAGAATCTCTCCTTGGAGAGAGAGATTAACTGAACATCCTCCTGGACAGCTGTGCAAGTTGTCAACAAATGCTTTTATGTATAAGTGGTTTAAAAATCACACAGCAAGTTCTGGAATATTCAAAACAATGATTTGATAGAACAAACATTCTAAAGTTACCTCAATTCCATGTTATTTTGTTACAAACAGTTATCATGGCCTAAGCCCTGTGCATTGGTGCTCGGATTCATGGCCCCACCCATGCAACGTTACCTATCTCAAGGAACAAAACTTTAGCTCTTGTACAAAAGCCCAAGTGAGCGACTGAATAAATTCAGCAGCTTTTCCAGCACTGAACTCCTTCCCTCCCAGGTAACTTGACTCATTCAAATTTCAGATATTATGTAGCAGACTTATCAAAGAGAGGTCATGTATAAACAGCACAGTCAAAAGCTACATCAGATGTAGGAAGACTAGTGGTTGAAAAACACGTTGAACATCTTTGAAGTTTCCAACACCACTGCTGGAGAGAAAGAGGAAAAAGATTAAAATGAAATTAAAAAATTAAGTTTGTCATTTCAATAACTGTGTTTCGTCATTCAATATAGAATAAAGCAAAATAGTTTATTTATGCAGTGATGAGGAAAACTTCAGACAGAAACTAAGACATCACCTGTCCCTTGAGAGATCAACTCCAGAAATCAAGACTTGTATTTTAAAACTTAGCTTTTCCTAGCCTAAAAAAAAAGTTTTAACGTATAAGTGCTATTTGGTAGTATTCTCTAAAACCAGAATTATATTTGCATCTTAATATAGGTGTGTGTGTTGGAAATTCAATAGCTATAAAATTGAGTTGAAGAAAACCACACTGCATTAAAAAAAAAAAATCATCTATCTGGAGCTACACACTGGCTAGTAAACCGAATTAAGACAGAAAAGTTCTCCATTTCCCTACTGAGCTGCACAGGGAGCCTATCCTACAACTATTTTGTGACTGCTAGAAAGCTTGCAGAACTACGACTAGACTGATTATTAACAGTTATCTGACCAGACATAACTGGACTGAAAGGGAAACAAAAAGCTTAGCACACAATAAATCATTTAATCCCTTTTCCTATGAACAGTTAGGAAGTTACATTTTCCTCTCTTACATTCAATGAGCAAAAAGCCTGATTAAATTAAGAGGAAACTGAATCTACAGCCATCTTAACCAGGCATATATTTAGAAGGACACCATTAACTTATTTGCCACCTTCATCACATGTTCACTTAAATCACAAATGCAGTCATTTCTTCCACTTGATCCACATAGAAATATTCCTCAGAAAGGAATTGTAATGCAAAACCAAATATTATCCATCCAGATGGACTTGATGTTCTAACAGACAGGCTACTGACAGACATAATGAAATAGCAAAGATGCTCCACAATTACAAGTACAGCGCAGCAGCCAGTGGAGTGAAACAAGAGCCCTCCCAAATCTGAGCTAGCAAGGGAAAAAATTACTTACTTGAAAAGTTTTTATAACAGTGAGTATACTTTGCAGTAAATATACTCTTGCATCTGGCTACTACATTTATTATTAAGATCCATCATTTTCACATTAAGTTCCTTGAAGACGTAGATACTATCACTAGACAATAGTTCTGTTCCAGCAGTAGAACAATGGTTACACACAGTTCCACATCAGTGGAACCAATGATTAAATGACTGACCTTTATACATGTCATTATGTATAATTAAGCTACAGTAATCAAATTCCTTCCAAAACCCCCTACCACTAACACGACAACACCAAAACACGCAGGCATTGCAGGCTCAAATCTGTCTGACACACGCATAACGCCTGTTCACAATGACAGAACAGTATGTAAGCTTCCAGAAATACCTTCCTATCTAACCCCATTTCATCTTGGGGTTTCCTGGCTTCTGCGAGCAAAGTAACTTCCATGTACATGCACATAAACTTAATGAATATTGAATGGACCTTTGTGGAGAAAAGACTAAAATTTACATGCATTCTAGACTGACACTTGCTCCTTTTAGAAGTATGCATATAAATCTGCTTTGGGTGAATTAATTTAATAGGAACATTTTAATTTGCTCCTGAAACTCCTGACCAAACTTAGTTTTCTTTGGTCCCTGACCCTAAAAACAACTTCCCATTCATCAAGCCAACAGATGTTAGAACTACAAATGTGCGAAAGAGTTCTAGAACATTGGTTTCCTTTGTGAAAAGACTATTTCAAAGTAAGTGTAACCTATAATAACTGCAATCTTCCTTTCTGGAAAGCTAGCTACTGCCATGCCATGGTAGCCTGACAGACAGGTCAGAACCAGGGGCAAACCAAGACCCTTGCAGTGGAACTCAGTGTCAAACCCAGAACCTGGCTTCGATACTGTATTTAGACCTTGACTAGTAAGACACAGTATTACCATCACATCAAAAAAGGGTCTAAACACAGGTGCAACTCAAGCTCAACATTCTTATCAGTAAGAACAACGGAGTAAATCTATACTAACCAAGTGTGTTAATTTTGGTAAAAAAGTGACTGCCTTTACTGACTACACTTCACAGGCTAAGCTATTTGCCTAGCCACAGATTCTGCTTTCTATTTCTCCTGTGTGTTGTTTTTCTTTTTTGCCCTACAAGTCATCTGAAAACTAAAAACAACACAAGAAATGCATACACACAGGCTACACTTGCAGAAATTCTCAAGTTTCTGCCCGCTAGAATATAACTGGAATAACTGAGATGTCTTGACATCCGCTTAGGAACACTTGTGAAAGCTAAAATAATGCTTATTATGTACAGGCATCCTACCCAGCAACTTTCTTCCTAGCCATCACTATTTGTGAAGTGCACCATTGCTAAATGAGCTATTTACAAATGTAAACTATGTAATTGAAGTTTTAAAATAAATAGACAACTTTTACATTAGGTAGCAACTTGACAAGGTAATAGATCATCCAATTACATCTTTCAAACAAAACAATCTGTGTATGCCGCTCAAATTTCCTTTTTTTTTCTTTATGAAGAAAATTCTTGGCTCACAATCTGTTTTGCAAGAACTTCCTTGGTTTTCTTCCTTTATGCTGGATAATTGTGTAAAAACTCCTTAAGTTTTGTTGGATAGTCTGTCATCACTCCAGTTGCTCCCAGATCAAATGCCCTCTTGTATTCCTGTTCTTCATTCAGTACCCAAATATACACCTGTAAGATGGGATAGAAAGAGAAATCAATACAGGAAATACTCAAATTTAAAAAAAAAAAAAGTGACTTTTGACCTAAATTGTTTCATGTGGGAGAGACTTCTGAGATGATGCCACATATATTTAAAATGATAAATGATCACACTGTGATGCCAACAACACGCACACAAACATATCCCCAACTTCTTCTCCCTTGCCCTCCAAAAGAGGGCACTTTCTAGCAGCGACTCCAATTCCATTTCATTACCCGAGACTTCAGATATTTCTAAAAGTCAAAATATTTTGTGAAAAACCCAAAATAGGTAAGCAGTTTGGCAGGTTTTGTAGGCTTAAAGTTGAAGGGGGCAGGGGGAGGAATTAAAGGGATTTAAATTAAGGGTCTTTTCCCAAGCATACAGTTCTTCCTTTGCAACTACGGAACTGCAAATAAAACAGCAGAAGCTATTGCTCAGGAACCAAAAAGCAACTTACAGTCCTAGCAACACAACAGAACATGCTGGGGAGAGCATGAACCCATCTTAAGGCCATAACTGGCTAGTTCAAATTCTCACTAGGTTAAAAGCACATTTCCTTCAGCTTTGCCACATTGTACCTGAATGCCCCGAGCAGTGAGGTGATCAAAAAGTGCTTTCCGCATTAGCAATCTGCGGAAAAAGAGAAAGAGATTATTGAAGAACTTAAAGTATACATGATATTTTCAATGTCTGTTGATGTTCTGTAATGAATTTTCCATACAGCATTTAGATTCAATATTTTCCATAAGAAAGTGATTAGAAACCCAATTATAGAAAGTTTAGTTCAAGCAACTCAAGACTGGTTACCACAGACACCCAGAAATTTGCATTAGCTATGGATATTTGCATCATCTCTTCTGACGATCAAATCCAACAGACTCTTCCTTCATCATACAGGTACCCTGTACCATGTCTGATGAATCAATCCCTTTGCTTTCAGAAGAGATTTTATCCTTCACACCAAAAGACATGAAAACTCTACTGGCCACTCAAGAAATCCAACTAACAGATGTCAGAGAGAAGCAAGAGCCAGAAGACACTTAACAGCAATCCCATTCAACCTCTGAAAGCATATGACTAAGTTTCCTCTGAAGTACAGATATTCTTAAAATGCAAAGTGTTCCATGTAAGCCAAACAGTATCTACTCTGACAACGTTATGAAACAGCCACAGTCCCATGAAACGTGAAAGCTGCACTCTGAATCTACTTGCATGCTAATTAGCTGAACACGCTTAACGACAGAAACTATATTTGAATAAGGACCACTGTTACTGCACCTCAGTATGTTTCAGTGTATGAAAAATAAAAGCATACAGGAACACCTATGTAAGATTTGAATATGATTTATGCTGCACTGACAAAAAAGCTAGAAGAAACTGAAAAAATACAACAGAACAAGTAGCTATAGCAATAGCTAGTCTTACTTGCTTGAGCCAACTGTTAATATATAGGTAAAATATAAATAAAAATTAAATCAGATTAAGATCTTACGTGTCAGCTAGCCAGATAATAAATTTCTGGCTTCTTGTCATCTTCTGTGGTTCTTTCAGCCTGTTGAGGAAGAAGAAACAAAAAATTACCAGAGCACAGATTAAAATAATATTTGAGATGTTCCTGCAAAAGGAACACGAAGAATTAATCTTGCAGCTTTTCAAATTAGAGCAGTAATTTCACTGTCTAAGACAGTGACTTAGAATTGGATTACACATGAGAAATGCGGTACATTTAAGAGAAGCAGCAGAGATGGGTATTCAGCAGCATTTTGAGTAAAGGATGAGAAACAAATTGCACTTTAAGTCTCATATCCATTCTATTACTGACTTGCCTCTTGGCCTTAATCAGACTAATTTGTTCTCAAGAAAGAGGGAGAAAAGTGCAAGAATTAGTTACTCGTACAGAACTGCTACATATTGCTATCTAGATGGCATCAGCACAAGCTGTGTCGTAAAGGCAGCTGCACGAAGATGGTATTTACAGGACATGCTGTAAACAGGAAACATTGATATACACAGGCACCCCACACTAACAACTGAGTAACCCAGAGCTGGCTAGAGACAGGTTAAATACAGAGGAGAAGATCTGCATAGCTTTCTCTTAGGAATATATAAAAGTGCCTAAATGAACAAAACAGTGTCCTCAGTCCAAGGATACCAACTAAATCAATGCTCAAGGTGGCATTATCATTCACTTGCTTTACTATCACCTCAGTGCAGCACCCACCGACAGGCTCTAACTCACTTGAGGATGATTGAAGGCATGGGAATTTCCAAGAATTCTTCCTTGAAAGGAATGAATGGCAGCAGACCAGTGTAGAACAGGCCAAGAAGCAGGAGGACACGTTGCAAACAGAAGATGATGGGAATGTCAGCGTTCTGCATGAACCAGGAAAGAGAGATTCTAAATTATCATGGTACATCGTCGAGTGTTGCAATTAAATTCACTCACCAATGCATGTTTAAAGTTTAGCACTTGGATCTAAAGTTTAAGCTACCAACTGTTTGTGATATGCCTGCTACTGAATTTAAATTACTCTTCCTGGTAACTTGTAATCCAAATAAAGGTTTTACATAATTGGAAGGGGCATTGGGACCCGAAAAGGTAAAGTTTCACTGGTTGCAGTACTGCTTTCGTTACCTGCCCTCATCATCTTTCCAGACTGCACGACACTACGCAGCATTTTCTCTTAGACTAGTATTACCACAAAGAACAAGATGTGCTTTAGCACAGGGTTTGTTACAGTTGATATCACATCAACTCACTTCACAACACATTTTTAAAGATGCTGCTTTATGAACCAAAATATTTGGGCATTGATGCTACAAAAATTAACAACTATAACTGCTGTTCAGGTAGGAAATGATGTGTTGTCCTGCACAGAAAAATCAGAACAATATATGTACTCTCAACTAGATCAATTTCACTCGGGTGCGTAACTCCCTTGGACTAATCACAATCTTCATTTAATTCTAAATTGTACAAGTCCTCAGCACAAAAAGGAATAGAATCTATAGCTGTAAAACAGCTTTATACCAATATAGCTGTGTGTCAACTAGTGGCCACATGCATTATTTTCATAAAAAGAAACACACAGTAAGTCATCCTTAGAAAAACTGATTTTGTACCAGATGAATGATGTGCAAAATAGGCTCTAAGAGTTCCTGGCATAAAATCATAACATCTTATATTTTATAGAAGAATAAAACATGAGCTTAATTGCTCAAGTATTTTATTGCAGAGTATATGGGTGTTAACTGTGCTTGACTTATTGTAACAGTGTAGTAAACAGAATATAATCTAAGCACAACATTTCTCAGCACATCTAAAAGTCTGGCATAGCTGGCTAGATCTTTATTTACAGGGTGCTTTTCTGTACATTTTGTCACCACACAGGAACAAGCAGGCAAGAAGAACGAAGCTTAGCTGGACTCATGCTTACCTCCTTAAGACACTTTGATACAACCTCGTAATTGACATTCCCCCATACTGTCAAATGCTCTCGCTTATACTGACTCACCAGCTCTGAAACCTGCAATATAAAAAAGCAGAACCCTAACATGTGTTCATCAAAAATTACGTGCAGCATTATTTAACTGACACTCTACTTGCTACTTTTCAACTACATAAGTCATTAGAGAAAAAATAGTTCTTCTATATTCTCTTTCATCTTAAGATGACTCCACTGCTTTGACTGGAAAGAAACAGGCATTCTGGTCAACAGATAAAAGGAAAGATCATTATACCTAGAAAAAAACCTAGAGAATTTAAGAAAACTAGATGGCAAAATAGTATCTGATGGAAAGCAAATCTCCTTTTCTGTGATGAACACCTATCTTTACACTGACACCATGTCTTTGTGCTGCTTTGGTAGGCAATAGTCCGTAAGACTCCCCCTTCACATGAAGTACAAACCAAACACGGCTCTAGCACTGTAGCATCAGTTTCATGTCAAGACAAAAGGTCAGTAAAGAGCTATTTGCTGAGCATCCTGCACTAGATCACTTCTCAGTCCTCTGTATTTACCTCATACATGGAGCAAGAACTAACATGTGAAGGATGAAGCAGTCCAAGAACACAGATTTTAGTATCACAGACTGCCATCAACTCCAAGAAACTTTTCTTTTGAAATTTCAACATCATTACATGACATTCAGCCTCAGTTCAGCGTACATATTCGTGTACCTTTTTGATCAACACATTGTTGTTCACTTTGATGTCAATGTTGACAGGAGTTTGTGGAAATGCCTCAAACACCTCTTTCAGGAGTGGAATACGGTTATCTTTTCCCTCACAGTGACATTCTGGGGAAACAAGAAAGTTGTCACTGCTGTGGCTATTTTTAATATACTATAGATAAAAGCTGAGATGTCAGAGCTCTTGTTATCTTAAAATTTAAAAAAGTGTTCAGTTCCTAGAATTAGCATGTTTTTGAACTAAAATAAATAAATAAAAGAATAATTTACTTCACTCAGATAGTTTTAATGAATTATGACCAGCTCATTTCCATAAGGAAAATGCCCTGAGCATACTGCACATTTAGGTTTTAACTTCATGAAATTCAGTCATTATTTAGCAACAGTAGGAGTGCAGGCATCGTTAAAATCCTGAAATAGCAAACATGGGCTCAGTTGCCACATACCAAATGCAATGAGATTAATATAAAACGAGACTGAATGAGAAAAACTTTTTCTTCTGAGAAAATTTACTGGAGAAGCATAAGGAGTAAAGGGAACAGAAGGCAACACCCCCACATTTTTTTTGTCTGAAACTGCTTGTGGTTCTAAGGAACTAACTGAAGGTTCTCACCATGTCTTTGTATTACTGTACCTAAACAAAAGATATATAAGTCCAAAAATAACACATCATGGAACTCATCTTGGTGCATTTTAAGTATTTTGCAATTTTGAACAGAAAAGTTTAACATAAAATTTGCTTGCTGGGCAACTGAAATATGGAAAGGCTACACAAGATAGTCAAAGTCCCTCAAGCAAACACATCTGGTATCATCTCTGGTAGCCTCTTCCAGACGGAAGTGCTCCCAGTTTTAGCCTGTGTACTTTATGCAAATTACAGTCCCACGAATCACAGTTCTCACAAGAAAACAGGTTAGTATTTTTCTAGGTTTTCCTCTTTTGCAGCAATATTGGTACTGAACTTCAAGTCATACATACAGTAACTACTACTCTTTTCATTCACCCTTCTGAAAGTGTCTGTATTATTGGACATCTCGTAGTACTTCAAGCCCAGAGTGCACCAGAATAATGGCATCTGAGTTGTAAAGAAACTCTCTTCTGCCTTCTCTCGTTTTTTCAGAATAACAAATCTTCAATCAGCACCCTCTGAAGAACTCACAAGGGAACTGGAAAGCAGTTGCAAGAAGTAGACAAGCAAACAATTGGAATGTTTACTTGGAAAAAGATATCTTACATCTTAAACTTAGTCACTGCCAACTGGTATGAAAAAAATATATTTTGGTTTCTAAAGCTAGGATTATATTTTCCTTTTAAAACTCCTCTTATCAAGCTACTGAGAGAAGCAAATCCACTTTTCTGTTCCCTTTGCCAAAACACGCTGCCACACTACAATGATGGAAAACTAGTTACTGTTACTGGAAATTGAAACAGTAAGACAAAAACTTACCTTTCTGAAATGTGACATCCAGCTTGCAGAGATATGGTGGGAGTTCCTTAAAAATAAAGGGAAATGGAACAATAATTCAAATGCAGGGATATAATAATGACTTTTCTTGAGAAAGACAAAAAAAATTATAATTCATAAGCCATAGAAGTTATCTTTAAAGACAACAATAACGGGGTTTTTTAAAACTTCTTGCCCAAAAAGTGATTTAGAAGCACTGTGTTCATTCTTACTTGAACTATTTGGTGTCCTTAGTTATGTGTTACCTGTAACTGAGTAAGGCAAAACGTTTCCAGACACTTGTCTGAAAATACTGAGAATTCCACTTAAATATCAGATGGAAAGACAGTTCTGTAAAACAGGCTTTTAAAACTAGTGATCCAGGTGGGATTCGTCTACCTGTTTTCCCATTAAAAAGCTGGTCATGTGAGGAGGAGGTTGTTGACTAAGCTTCCTTTGTCATCAGTATGGCAAAACAGGCCCACCTCCAGAAAGTTATTCATCCAACCTACTACTGGAAGGAGGTAATCACCCTCTGAAAATGCTCTGGTTTTTCTCCCTTGACTACACAGGGAGACTAGTTAACTGTGTTTTAAGTCAGACAAGATGAAACATCTCCTTAGATTTTGGATACCTGACATGCACACAACCTTCCTGCCCACCCCAGCCACTCTACAAATGCATTTTTAAACATCATCTAGCACTAACATTTTTTCTTCAACTTACAGAGTATTTGAGGTCAGATATGTTGACATCAACTCCTGTTGATCTCTTCAGGTTCTCATCATGGGACACAACCACTTGCTCATCTTTCGTCAGGTGACAATCTAGCTCCAACATGTCTGTTCCTATATTAACCGCACTGGAAGCAAAGAAGTCTGCCTTGAACCACACATGTTATTTTGTACAGGTCCAAACCTAACACGTTATTCAATTAAACTAATCCCACTGGAGGTACTTTAGATACTTTATGATGCAATGAATCCTCACAATCTTGCTGCAAAGCATGAAACAAATAACATTGCTGCAGCGGGAAAGCTGATGCAAGAATAAATAACATATCATGAATCAGAGATGGGATTTGAACACGGAAGCTTTGGCTCTGTCTTCCATAGAAATCAAGTAGCACACCTGTTGATTTCAGCCGACCACCTCAGTACTGAGAAACCTAAAGTACTGTTTCAGAACTTTACATGTGATGTTTGTTAGTATCAGCATATTTACCACTGGAAGAAGCAAGCTCTTTTTAAAAAGTAATCAATTTTGTGGTAAGCATAATGAACAAACAACAGGGATGTGAAACCCTTTTTTTACTTAAGTTAATTAGGAATGGATTGATCAGGAAAGTAGCAATGGCGCTTTTAGGCTTTTGGCTTTTTTGCCTAGCAAAACTACATTTTAAAAAAATTATTATTATTTTAATGAAAAAGTTTTTATTTTAAATTAAAAAACCCCAAACACTAAAACACCCTGTCATATTTTTCAAAGAAAAATAGCTATTCCTGTTCCAATCCGCTGCTTTGAAAAGTTCTAATCCAATCCCAAATCCACTCTATAGAAGCTTAGCTCACAGGAGGTAAGCAGAAAGTAGTAACAATATTGATGAAAAAGAAGTACAAGAAACCTCACACCAGAACAGAAAAACTAAGCTTTACTCCAACAAGAAGTGAATTGCTCATTTCATTAGAAAAGATACTCAGAAGGTATCATTCCAGCAGACAGCTATAAATCCCAGCCTGAAGTCTGAACACTTCCTTCAAAACTCTGGGCTGTTCTTTTTATCCTCCTGTGAACAAACCTGTAACATCTGTGAGTACAGTCCATACGGGACCTAAAGTTCTGCGACTTCAGTAACAGCCTTTCCTTAAGAAAAGGGCTTTATTGACTGCTGAAGTACAGAAATGTCATAAACATTCCCAAATGCAGTAACAAAACAAAAAAAAATTAGAACATACTCCCATAAAGTGTTTAACACAACTTCTGGTCCAGCTGGGATAGTGATCAAGAAGAGTTCTGTCAAATTAAAACCAATTTGTTACCTGTTTTCCAGTGCCACTAATTAAGAAATAGGACAGGAACAACATCCTATTACACACAGAAGATACACAGCCTGTTCTGTGTAATTTTTCCTCCCAAGGAAAACCATCTCCAAATATGCTGCCAGAGATTTGCCAAATTTGTAGAAGATGTTCCCATCTAGTACCACATATTGTCATTTAACCAGCAAAATTTATTAGAAATAGTACTTCTTAAGAACTTCAGGACTGATGCTGCATGGAAAAAGGAGAACAACAACGTTCCTTGTTAACAAATTTGAGAATTTGCCAGGCTCTTACTAGCAGCTTGTTGCTAAATAAGCTTCCTTAAAGTGCCGAGTTTTTCAGCTGGAAATCAGTTCATTCTGCAGCTCTGTAATAACAGATCAAATCTACATTGTTCCAGAGAAGACTCCAGATGCTCTCCAGATTCAGAAGAACGTGTTGGATTCAGATCCAAGGGCTCCAGAATTCAAGTTGTGAAGCAGGCTTACATTCGCAAATTAGGATGATAGAGTTCTTTGCTTGTGTTTAACTCCAACTGACTTCAAGTAAAAGCACATGCCAGGAAATATACAAGAAAACCTTTACCTTGGAAACTAAAACCCATTACGCAAGGCCTAATATCGCACAATGTACAGAGTTTATAAATATCAAATTGACAACATACTCTTATTGCTGTAACTACAGTGTTCAGAGCTTTCTCTCTAAACCAAGTATGTTCATAAAACAAAAGAAATACAATGAGAAAATATCTGGAGAGTTTACTTAGCAGCTTCCTGTCAAGACAATGCCAAAGTACGTGGCTGTATCAAGGACAATTAAACCAGTAACTAAATTCTTACATCTTTTATGCTGGATCCCCAAATACTTAAAGACACTACAAGTGTCTCTTTTAGCTTAGAGTCAATTATTTTAAAATCTAAAACCACCACAGAAGCATTTAAGTACAGTGTAACATTATTATAGTCCAAAAAAATCTATTAGGCATTTTACCATGCAAAAACAACAAAAAGAAATGCTGTCTTTGGTACAAAAAGCTTATAATTACTTTCCAGAATATTTGTAAATTAAGCTAGTATAGAACTTGAAATTACCAATAAGGCCTCCTCCCCCCATACACTTTTTTTATATCTTACTATAACAACTTTCTCATTATAATGCAACTGTATTAAATATTCTCCAACCCCAGTTAAAGTGTAAATAGCACAAAGAAAACTATTTGCTTGCCAATACTTAGGTTACTGTCAACAAGGTAAAATGAAGGTGGTAGGTCTTACGCTGCAGACAAGCATCCTCTTTCGGATTCAACTACATCAACGGTCAAATATGCCTGCTTGTCCAAACCTGCAGAAAGCCCTATTTGGCTTCATGCAAAATTTGATGGATTATAAATTGATTAGCTCATACCAGCCATCTGAGCCAATCCAGATAACTTTCACTGTACAGATCACCAATTTTCTGCCCATTTCCTTTTGCTAGCTTACCAGTGGGGATGGGAATGAGCAGAGGGGAAGTACAAAGCCTTTACCCCTTCACAGAGGAAGCCAGAAGACTTTCTACCGCCTAATGCAAGGTAATTGCTCTGACTCTTTCTGCAGAAGTAATATGCCTTTATTATTCGACCAAGACAATCTCACACCAAGTAACTGAACTTGTTATTGGTAGTTGTGATGAGTTCAAAAAGTGGAACTCAACACATTTGTTACACTATAGTTGTAAAATAATTAAAATGGTCAGGAGAGAGTCAGACAAATGTCTGTATTATCACAAAACATTATTTGACTCCTAGCACAGTCCTTACTTTAAGTACTACAGCTTACTTCTGGGAATGAAATAAAAATAGGTTTCGGTGTAACTTTCTTTGCAAGAGCCATATACATATAAAACTGAAATGACACTAAATGAAAATTAAGAAACTGTTAAAACCAAAAGCACTCTCCAGAAAGTGTGGTAGCAGACTTGAAAAAAGGCAGGCCAGCAGGGAAAGGAAAAAAAACACAACCCCAAACAAACAACCCCAAAAAACTATGCTAAGCTTCCATGGAGATACAAAATACTGCAGTGCTTTCAATAGCACTGTTTGGTTGGGAAAGCTGGCACTCCTCAGTATGCAAGGAAATGTGCAAACTGAGGAGGCTACTTAGCACAAAGTAAATTAAAAAAACCCAAACAAAATAAAGAGAAGCCTACATAAAATTTGGTCACTTCTCATTGGCAGCTGGAGTTTTAGATATGCTTCTTTTTCAAATTTTGAGAACCTTTTTAGAATTCACTACTTAAATGCTAGAAGCTTAAAAGGCTTTCCAGTACCAATTCCATTTTAAAGCCCTAGATAAGAGGCTTTCACACATTGTGCAAATGAAGTGTGTGTATGAAGGGAAAAAATGTAACACAAACATTTTTAATAGCTTTACAGATGGTATATTAAAACTTAGCTAACATTAGGGTTTCAGTCACAATTGTTCTAGGAGACAAATTATTAACCTTCTGTATAAAGGAGGGAACTGAATACCATGAAACTGTGGCATATCTAAGAGAATTGCTTACAGCCATAATAGCAGTCAACAGATTCAGACTTCCTGAAATCCAGCCTTGTACGCTAATTAGCATTAATTGGTAGAGGCTATGATCTCAAATACCTTTTGAGAAGCATCAGTGTATGTAGAAAAAACAGTGTACGATATTAGTTACGAAAAATAGCTTTATAATGACAAATAAATTAATAGAAGTAATCACCATTAAACATGGAAGCAGTATTGTTTCATGTGTCAGTAGCCAGCACAGGAGGATTCAGCCTTCAGGAGTTTTACTTCCAATTGTCAGTCTACCACGTTATTGTGTACAAATCATAGTTTGTGGCATCTCAGTTCCTTCTTGTTTAAATTGGAGTGATGTTTAGCAATCCACAGAAGTCATCCAAAGGAGAGATGACTTTCAGAAAGAGGACACTGTACTCCAAACAACTGATGGAAGTCCTATCTTTCTTGATTGCTTCACTTACTAAAGACAACAAGAACACCACTAATTTAGGCATTATTGGTTCTATTTGTACTCACTGGTGAAAGGCTGCCATCGTGTTTTCCAGGTTCTCTCCAGCACCTACAAAAATAACAAAAACTAAAACATGTACAAAATCCTTTTCCTCCCCTCAATCCCAGTGGAAATAAATAAATAAAGGACTAAAAAACTTACATATTTTCAGGACGTATTTGGAGGAATGAGTACGAAGCTAGAGTCAGAAATCCCAGTTGCCGCTAACGTACTGGGGAGACCCAAGAGACAGGACTTTCTCAAGGTAAAACAATTTTTAAAAAAACAAAAACAAAACCAAAAACCCACTCCAGGTACCTTGAATTTGTATAACACTTTGAATATAGAAAACAAAGTGTTTACTTTACCAGAGGTTGGGTGCCCTGTTTTTCCTTGAAGGTATTGTATTTGGTTATGACAATATGCTCCACAGGCACAGGAACAGTATACACAAAAAGTCTAGTTCAGAGTTAGTGGGAGGATTAATAAGAGGAAAGGTAACGGGGGGGGGGGGGGGGAGGATCAAAGACACTCTAAAGCTGATATTCCCTAAACGCATAACCCGGTTAATGCTCAAAGAGGTGATAACCTCTTTTTTCAGTGCAAGGATACTTCCTGAAACAGCACAAATCTGTTGATAAAGGTTTATGCTGCTGGCAAAGGGAGGTCTCACACACAAGGAATAAAACACACATCAACTCCAGTTCAGAAAAGAAAAGACAAGCAAATTTTCTCTCAGGCGGGAGTAAACTCTGTAACTCTTAAGCCATCATTCTCTACACAAAAATCTTTGAAAATCAGCCTGGTTAGGGACTGGAAAAGGTTGTGCCTTCTCCCTCCCTCAGAAAATAGGCAATATTATATACTGAAAACCAAAACAACTTCAGGAAGATGCATGTACTGATGAGGATATCTATGCAAATTTTAACTACTCTTTGACAGTGACGAATGATAGACTTTGTAATCAACAATTATAAAAGCTCCAATTAAGACCTTGCCTATCAACAAGGCCTCATCAGTACATACTTATCCGTGCTTAGTTACTTAATGGAAGCAATGCAATTCTATGCATGCACAACTAGCAATTTAAAACTGTCATCAGGTTAGCTTGCACCGGTAAGTTTACAACATGAAAGACTTAACTGACTCAGAAACGTAATGACAAAATCCACATGATTTAACGTAAACCAATACAGTAAAGTCCACAGCAGCTTCTGTGATCTGTGATTAGACATTCACAAATATTTTATGGAATTTGATTGCAGAACTAGGAAAAGGCTGAGCAGCAAAAGTGACAGAGGAGAACACAAGAATCTCATCGTACACTTCTGATGATTGACTAACAGGTGGGGAAAACCTGCACAGGACCTGGATGATGAGTTATAATTTAACTGCAATAAAATTGAGGTTTTAGATAAGTTATCAACTGTGACAATACGGCCCATACATCCTGAATGGTAAGGGAGGGGGGGGAGGGAAACGAGTCAGTCTTCAATTTGTGACTAGAACAACAGTATCCTAACATTCCTGGGCAGAAATTTCCAAAAATAAAAATTTTAAGTGACCAATCTAACAAGTCACATACCAGGGAGGTAGGTATGGCGAGTCAAACCAGTTGGTAACAAAACGCCTGACTTGTAGTGTTTTGAGGAAATGAGGAAAAAAGTTGAGACATCAGCTGAAACAGGAATTCTAAATCAGCAACATGGCTTTCACAAACCATACTCAGAAAAGGGAACTATGACAAGCAAGTGATTTGATATTTGATGTACTAAATTATTTTTCCTCCTTAAAAATGAAAAGGCTGGGCTGACTGAAGGGCTTCTGACATTTACTTAAATGCACCTCCAGATTCATGCATTGTCCACTTGCGTTGTTGCACTTCCCAGGCAGAAATTACCTTCCCCAGTGTACTTTAGCACCCTGTGAGCCAAAATGGCCACATCCATCCACATGATGACTGCATACTCTAACTCTGAAAGCACCACCATCGGACAAGAGGGAGTCGACGTCAAGCACTGGCTCAAGGAGATGACCCTTAGAAGTTCTGTTGTTTTGGGTTTTCCCCTCCAATGTAAGCAAAGAAGTTTAGGACATTAGGAAGAATGTTGCCAGCAGGGCAAGGGAGGTGATTGTTTCCCTCTACTCAGCACTGGTGAAACCACATCTCGAGTGCCAAGTCCAGTTCCGGGCTCCAAAGTACAAGACAGACATGGATCTACTGGAAAAAGCCCAGAGGGCTGTGAAAATTAAGGGATGAGAGATTCTTGCATATAATGAGAGGCTGAGGGTGCTGGAATTGTTCAGCCTGGAGAAGAAAGGCTTGAGAGGATCTTACCGACGTGTATAAATACCGGGTGGGAGGGAGTAAAGAAGATCAAGTCAAACCCTTCTCAGTGATGCCCAGCGAAAGGACAAGCGGCAACAGGAGCAAATTGAAAGACAGGAAATTCAGTTCATAAACACAAGAAAAAAAAACTTCTTTTTTTATTGTAAGACTGATCAAACTCTGGAACAGGCTGCCCAGAGAGGTTGTTGAGCCTCCATCCTTGGATGTATTCAAAACCTAACAGGACAAAGTCCTCATCAACCTCCTCTAGTTGCCCCTGCTCTGGTCAGATGAGCTGATCTCCAGACATCCCCTCCAATCTCAACTATTCTGTGATTCTGTAAAAATCATCAAGGTAGCCTGTCTCAAAGACCCTGCAATCCAGTCCATGCAGCTGGCATTGACAGAGGACTCTAACACAGAATATCAAGACTTAATTATTGATCTCAGAAAGGACCAATTTCAAAATTACACAGAAGTGAAAAAATAATTCAGGGATGCTTCCACTGACAAGCTATAAATTGAAACAAGAAAATTCTTCCATGAAGAAAGAAGTGAAATCAAAACCCACAGACTTAAACTTCACATACAAGGCTTCATCTCAGAGAGGAAAAAGCCAAACAAGTTAAGAGTTATCTTGATCTCCAAAGTTAATAGGAGTAATGCAATAGGAAACCTGACACTGACTCTAAAGCTACAGCACAACTAAAGCCTGATGAGAATTTAAGTCCCACTGGAATTTAAGTTACAGGGTAAATACTACAAAGTAAAGAGTAAGTGATCTTCAGTCTCATAGAACCCGATGAGCAAAAAGCTGCCCAGATGTTGTTTAAGCATTGTACTTCTACCACAGGTGCATTTCACGGTATACATGCGGACACAGAGCAGTACAAAGAGTGTGGACTTTGCCTCTGAACACCTAATGAATAATCCTCCCATTGAGGAGTAATGCTTTCCTGTTGTTCTAACGGTGCTTAGTGCAACTGGCTGAAACACTTGCATTCTAGCTTCAGGCTGTATACCTGAACTAAGGTCATTGCAAAGAAGTGAGAACAAAAGAAGATTAAGGAGATGATACCAAGTTCCAACAAGTCATCCACAAGTTTTTAACAGCTTGCAAATTAACAAACAAACAGGTAACAGCCAAAATGGAGAACCTTTGTTCGTTGAATGAAAAGACATACCTACCAGGAAAAGGCTAATATATGCATGCCAAACCAAAAAGTACATTTTATGCTATATTTAAGACTACAGTTATAAAGAAACTTAACCTGTTGTATAAACTAAATGAAAGAAATGCAAGCAATAAAAGCTGCAAGAGATCTAGTTTTTGTATTTTAATAATTCAAGGCAGCAGCAGTCGTTAAGGACCATTGCCTAGAACCGTTATCAAACGCTTGCATAAACTGGCACTAGATACAACATTGAAAACTGCTTAAACTGAACATCCAACATATCTCCCACAGAATTTTGGGAAAAAATATTTACTCGAAAACTGACTATTTTCATGAATTGAATGAGGCAGCATGAAAAAGCACAGAACTCATCTTCACAGAACATGAAAATACAATTTACGGTAGGTTTTTTTTTTTCCTCCTAATGCTTTGGAAAAGGTTGAAGAAACCTTAAAAAGATCTTTTAGCTATTTTAGACAGAAGCAACCAGCCCACCCACAAGGCCTTGGCAGAAGGTGTACGGAGGGGACAAGACTCTCAAAATGGGATCGGTTTTACCACAGCACCGAACCATTAACTGTCTCCGACACCAAGAACAGAGTTACAACAAACTCCACGTCTTCTGAAACCAGAAAGCAAAGTAAAGCAAATAGGCAGTCAGAGGCAAGAAGAATCTTTTGTACCTGATCTAAGCAACAGTCAGCTACATCTCTCATTAGGAAGAGAAATATCATAATACAGAGCCATCAGACAGAAAAAATACGTATGTTTGAGAGGGAAACCATCACAACCCACGTAAAACAAGCTGATTTCGGCTGACGCGGTTGGAGTTCGGAGATTAATTCAGCTTTGAAATCAAGCACTGGTCAGCAGGTGGCACCTAAAATTAGGTTGCGGGAAGAAGGTTTAAAGGGAGCCCGCTGCGACCGCCGGGC